TGATATTTTGACTTTTGCGGCATCCTGCTGCTGCTAGAGTACAGTTGCTTGGATATGTTTTACCGTCAGAACCACAGACGGGTGCGTAGATAGCGGGACAAGCAAACATAGGACATTCACAAGTAACTTGACCATTCTTATTTACGCATTTTTGCAGCGGGTGACTGCAAAGTGACGTTTCGCAGATGTCAAAAGGTTCTAAAGATATTGAAGAGCATGTACAAAATTTAAGTTCATCGTTATTCAAAATACAAATGACCCTTGTTAAATGTTGCCTAAACAACAGATACACTTATTCCAAGAAAATGTTGTGAAACGGTGATCTGAAAGTCATTGCTAGAAGCCTCTTGTTGCTAAATATTAATTGTTATTTTATATACGGTATTTTGTCACCCTAAAATTCTTCTAAAAAATTGCCCCTGCGAATTTTTAAACGCACATTTCTCTCCAAAACTAAATCCTTCCCTGAAATAAGCCCACCAAAAAGATACATTATAGGCATCTTATAGGCCAGAGAGGTTTACGATATTTACTTTAGTACTTACTTTTACATTCTCCTGGGTGTTTTAGCTGCAGTTGATCAGTGTTTTCAGGCTTGCAAGCTTCGACCTCTAGCAGACACATGTTGTCATAGGTTTTGCCATCGCTGCCACAGACCGGAAACAGTTCACGAGTACAGTACTTAGGACACTCACAAGTAGCTGTGCCATTAACCACTATACACTCGGAATGTGGGAAACTACACAAACTTATTTCACATGGATCTATTGGTTTTGCTTCTTTGGTCTTGTTGATTTCTGCAATGAATTTCAAAAGGGTGCATAACAAAATTGATCCAAGTTGCCCATCTTCTACGTTAGGGAGTTGCGACCTTTGCGGACGCATTGCACGAAATTTGTACTGTTGTGTAGACAAATAGATCTTACCTGTACATGAGCCGTCCATATTCATAACGGTATCATTTTTACAGAGGCAACGCGTTGATCCATCAGGGAAACCAATACACTGTTCGTTCGGACCGCAATCCTCGTTACACTTGATGTTATCTGAAAGATTAAGGCATGTTTCAAAGTTAGGCCTTCACAAAAAAATCCTTAAAATGTTATTGATACACAGAAAAAAACACTTAGACTGATGTAAGTTAGGGCTTTGGTAACTCACATATCCAATTGAAACTTAAAGTGTAAGGTTTAAATGTTTGAGAAGGGTAGGAGTACCCTGAGAAATAYCCTTGAATCGAATGTGAGACCCAACAAACTCTACTCATGTGATGCCGAGTCCAGGAATCAAACCTGAGACCCAAGAGATGAGGCGAGTGCAATAGCAGGGTCCTCCAAGGTCCCTTGACTAACCTGCTACGTTAATACAATCCCTTTGACATCCATTATCACAGCACTTGGAAGCTCCTGCACAGTTTGTATCATCGTCACACATACTTCCACGTTGGTTACACAAGCCATTCAAACCTGTCCAAGGTGCAGGACATGTCCCGGCCTTCTTTACTTCTTCACCTAAATTACAACAAGAACGAAGGACTTTAGCTAACACAAAGACCCTTTAATCGACCTTAATAATAGTTAGTTTATTCTACGTACATTTGCCATCCTTGACGACTTTTAGTATCATATTCTTTTTACAACCAGCGTTCTCCATAGACATCACGTTCGGATAAGTCTTGCCATCGGATGCACACTTGGGGTCATATTCCATTGTGGTAACCTCACGACACTTGCAAACGGCTGTGTTGTTGATGTTCTGGCAGGTGTGTTGAGGATGGCTACACAGAGAGAAGCTGCAAGGGTCTGGTGGTTGCAAACCTAACATGTCAACAATTGTAATTACTTTATTATTACAGGCATAAGAAAGTAGAACGCACGTTTAAGGGGTCTCAAAATGGTTTACCTTGACCGAGCGCGGTTTAGGGTAATAACTGTCCTTTAAAATTTCTAAGGGGAAATGTAATCTAATAGATTATAATCCAAAAATCTTGCCAATACAAATAGGGGCAAAATTAAAACTGAAAACTGAACGCACTTTTTATTCAGCTAATAATTCAAGACTCAAATTTCTTAAATTTCAAGAGAGCTTAGCTCTAAGCAACAGAAAATTCAAGCTCATTGCAAGGATCGCTGCATAACAGTTTTATGCGTGGAAGGATTGGAATGACAACGCAGATTAAATGCAGGAGGTTTCCATCTTGCACGCTCAACCGAGCAGCAATGCTATGAATACGGTTTCAGTAAATCTACAAGCACTACTTACTAAGTTTTTCTGGGCATGGTCCTTGACTAACGACTTTGATATTTTGACTTTTGCGGCATCCTGCTGCTGCTAGAGTACAGTTGCTTGGATATGTTTTACCGTCAGAACCACAGACGGGTGCGTAGATAGCGACACAACCAAACATAGGACATTCACAAGTAACTTGACCATTCTTATTTATGCATTTTTGCATCGGGTGACTGCAAAGTGTTGTGGCACAGATATCATCTGAAGCTCTTTCTATAACAATGAAATCATGAAGAAGATTTAATTTGGCAATTTCTTAACATTAAAATGTAATCAGGTATTTATTTATAATATGTTCTCAATATATGTTCTATGCAAAGGCCTACAGCAAGGGCTGATCCGGAGGGGGGGATCGGCAAAGGGGGCTGAAGCACCCCTTCAGCAGAAAAAAACTGAAAAATTAGATGCTTCTTTTTATTGTTTTCCGTTGTGTGGACGGAAAAAACTCAATTAGCCCCCCCCTAAAATTTATGGCCTTTGGGATGAACTCATCCTTCCGTCTCGATTTCCACATTCCTTCTCTCACAAGATTAGAAGACTACCGAGTGCGTCAATTAGACACATCTACGAAATATTGTCCTACCTCAAGTTCAACCCATGATCATTTATGAAACAGATAATACTTACTTTTACATTCTCCTTGGTGATTTAGCTGCAGTTGATCAGTGTTTTCAGGCTTGCAAGCTTCGACCTCTAGCAGACACATGTTGTCATAGGTTTTGCCATCACTGCCACAGACAGGCATCAGTTCACGTGTACAGTACTTAGGACACTCACAAGTAGCTGTGCCATTAACCACTATACACTTGGAATGTGGGAAACTACACAAGCTTATTTCACATGGATCTATTGGTTTGGGTGGTGCAACTTGGTCAGCAACTGCAAACCAAAAAATGGAGGAAAAAACCTTTATCCTTCTTCATACTCTTTAAGTATTTTGCAATCGAAAATGTAGTACTTTTACATTCGATTTTAATACATTACTAAGAATGCTTAGCCAAGTTTACAGTGCTTCTCAACAGTACACGAGGAAACGTCGTCGCAATTGCTACGGGGTAAGTTTTAGTGGAAGTCAATCAAGACGTTTCCATGACCTTTCATTGGCACGTGCCTTTGAAAACGTTTTGTTTTCCGACAATGTTATGGGATCGCTCGATTGTCCAACGAAACCCTTTTTTGTCACGACCACAATTTGTATGATTCTGTATCATTGAGTGCAATTAATTCTTTCTTTGCGAATAGATCTATTGTAATGGGAAACAAGAGTTAATAACGATAGCCTTAATTTCGTGTTTAGAGATTAAGGCTCATGTCAAACGTCGGACTTCATATGAGACCAACCTAATGACATCAAAGAAGATTGCCTTGTTATCCAATTTTTCAATTAGGTTCGGCTCATGTGACGTTCGACGTTCATATACTGCGAGGATCAGCTCAATTTGATACATTACAACAGCAGTACAAATATATACTTCATATATATTCTCATACACATTAATATGTAATTTTTTGATTTTCTTACGTTTACAAGTGTCTCCCTCCATTATTGTCCCCTTCTTACAAAGACATCGTGTCGATCCGTCAGCAAAGCCGACACATTGCTTGTATTGCCCGCAATTTTCACTACAGCTCAGGTAGTCTATAAAGTGAACGAAAATAATGACAATTTAATATTCCTAGAATTTTTTTTTTCGACTCTTGGGTTTTTGATATACGTAACGACTTTCTTTTAACTCCACTGTTGTAATAAATGCTAATCAGTGCAATTTTGGAAGATCATCTCAAGGCGATCTCGTTCTAATTTTGTTTGATGTGTTGTTCTCTCCCTTGCCACGAGGGTTTTTTCCAGGTTCTGTGCTTTTTCTCCCTCCATAAAAATCAACATGTGAGTTGAGTTTGTTTGATGTGTTGTTCTCTCCATTGCCACGAGGGTTTTTTCCAGGTTCTGTGCTTTTTCTCCATCAATAAAAATCAACATGTGAGTTGAGTTTGTTTGATGTGTTGTTCTCTCCTTTGCCACGAGGGTTTTTCTCCAGGTTCTCTCTCTGGTTTTCCTCCCTCCATAAAAATCAACATGTGAGTTGAGTTTGTTTGATGTGTTGTTCTCTCCCTTGCCACAAGGGTTTTTTCCAAGTTCTCTGGTTTTCCTTCCTTCATAAAGATCAAGTGGAGAGTTGGGTTCTTATGGTAGTGAATGTGACTCGGCAAGGACTCACCTTATCATGGCAAAAAAAAATCCGTAACCCACCTGCTGTATTAACACAATCTCTCTGACAGCCACTGAAGCAGCACTTCATTGTTCCATTGCAGCCACCATCATCTTCACACATATTTCCTCGGCTTTCGCAAACCCCACTGACATCCCACATGGCTGGGCAGCTACCAAGTTTTTCAATAGTTTCACCTATTCCAAGGAACAGTATGAGTCGAATTATCCCTCGTAATTCTCTTCTTCTCTCGGTACAAAAGATTGTGTGAGGGCAATTGTATGCATTTCTAACCATTTTTAGGTGATTGCAAATCATGAAAAGTCAGCCTTGTAAAGCCTACTTTTCCACAGAATGCTTACTAGAAAGCCTTAACATAGAATAGAATATCTTGCGTGTAATGTTTGCCCATTTCAGACCATTTCAGTTTGAGTTGTATCCATATTCAGGTGTCTTGTCATGTGCAACCAATAATCGAAAAAATAATACTCTAAATAAATAGACTTTATACTTTATAGAGGGTAACACTTGACAGTGACTGAATTGATACACTCGCGTTCTTCTTGTAACGTCTCTAGTTAATCCGAGCCACGTAAAGATTACTAAGTAATTACAAAGGAAGCACCTTCCCCTCGTTTACTTTAAGGTAACAGGGAATATACTCAATACTCTAGAGAATGAAATGAGGTCTTATTAAATGGGAAACACCTAGGCTAAAAGGTTCTACTATTCATGCACAAGCACCCTGTATTTTCTATTAAGTGAAAATCAAGAAGTAGACGTCATTATTATTGCGGTTGTTTCTACATTTCACTTACATTCTCCATTTTTCACAACCGTTAGAATCATGTTTTTCTCACAACCAGCGTTCTCCATGGTCATCTGGTTCGGATACGTCTTGCCATCGGATGCACATTTAGGGTCATATTCCAATGTGCTAACCTGACGACACTCGCAAACAGCTGTGTCGTTGATGTTCATGCAGGTGTGTTGAGGATGGCTACACAGAGAGACGCTGCAAGGATCGGATACGATACCTACAAGACGACAAGAACATGTTAGTGTCCAAAATGGCGGGTATCCTACAGATCGAAATTGAATCTAGCTTGCTCTCTAGGCTTATGGCACAAAAACAGAGAAGCCAGAGAAAAATACTGGAATGAAGGAAGAGATGCCAAGTGATGCCGAGTGTTGCCGAATGATGCCGCGTGATGCCGAGTGATGCAAATTGCATAATTTAATGCCTTAGATATTATTGTGTTGCACATACCTTTGCATTGCCCATTGTGAGCCACCTTGATGTTCAGGCTGTGTTGACATGCATAAGAATCCATCATACATTTGTTTGTGTAGGTCTTATTGTCTGTTCCACACACATAATCCTTCAAAGTACTGCATTTCATCGTGCGGCATTCGCAAACTGGCATCGAGTTTCTCATGAAGCAAGACTGCATTGGATGACTGCATTTTATACGTGAGCTACAAGAATTGTTACCCCCTAAAATGAAAGCAAAACAAACAGCGAATCAGAAACGAGATAATGAATTAGGGACTCGTTCAAAAGCTCATCAAAGTTGGGTTGAAAAAAATTAAACACTAAAATAAAGAAAATATAATAAGCGCGCGCGTGCTGTGTATAGTTATAAAGCACCTGAAGAAGTTGGCAGGGCATGAGAGACGAAGTGCTTCATAACTGCACACAACACAACAAGTTTTTTATTTCGTTTACAACTACTAGTTTAGTAAACAAGAAAAGAAAGAAAAGAAAAGGAAAAATTAGAAACAAAGAGATTAAAAAAACGGAAACATTTTCTTTTCTAATGACTCGTTTTAGCATAGTGAATCTAATAGTCTAGTCTAACACCCTTCTTAACTTCGGCATAATTTTCCCATTTCAGACAACTTTTCATTCTCTTAAGGCCGGTTTAGAAGGTACGATTTTCGCCTACAACTATCGTATACAACATGCTTGCGTCTGTCGTAGGCAAGTTGTAGGCTTGATTTACACGCTACGAAACGAGTTGTAGGATGGCGCGAGAGTGTTGTATACGATAGTCGTAGGCGAAAATCGTACCGTCTAAACCAGCCTTTAAGAATACTATTATTTGTTCAAGTCGCATCCATATTCATGTCTCTTCTCATGCGTTACCGCTAAACAAAGAAATGATACTCTAGGGAATGACACATGGTCTGAAATGAGAAGCATTACACCTAAAAGGTAAAAAGGTTTATACCGCATACCTTTAGGACATTCTCCTCTCGATGCTACGGTTATCATCTTTTTAGACGTGCATATACTTGTTTTCATTTCACATTCATTGCCATAAGTCTTGCCATCGGAGCCACATATGGGCATATATTCAAAGGTACAAAACTTTGAACACACACATGATGTACTGCCCTCTTTTGAAGCCATACAACGCCCATAGTAAGGACATCTTACTCGAGCACATGGATCCACTGTTAATGAATCGCAAATACCTATCAGCCAACCTATAAGACCTATGCTAGGCAACGTGAAAAATATGCCCTTGGTTTCAAAAGAGTGTGAACTATCAGGAGGTTATTTTTTTCGTTCATTTACGACGTTTGACCAATACCATTAGATGGCTTAGCAAACAAGGCACATGAAACCCTATAAATCGCCTAATAGTTCGCACTATTTGTAAGATTTATTACCCCTCTCCCTTTTAAAAGAAAAAAGGAACCTTACCCTTTGGGGTGCAGTCTGGTCTTCCACGAATACGGGTTCCTGTCAATTCAGAGCCAGCTTCGTCAACGCACCAACAGTGTCCAGTAGAACCGTGGCATTGCATGCTCTCGTATTTACCGCTATCCTCGCAGCTTGGTTGAAATCGTCCTATTGGTGGAAGGTCTAGTGAATCTCGATAGTGTCTTTGGCACTTGGTAAGTCCTAGAAAAGAGAGTAAAAAGCGATAACCACTGAAGGATGACAACAAAGGCAAATCTCATCATCTTATGTCTCTCAAGCAGTTGTGTCAAAATGAAAAACCCAGAAACGAAAAAAAAAGCACCTCGCTATTTATGTTTGATCATATAACAAGTCATATAGGAAAATGGCGTTATATATAAAATTGAATGTTTTGTTCACATTTGATATTATAATTAATGCCCATAAGAAGGTCGTGGGTTCGATTCCCACCTGAAACTCAGAGTCCTTTCTCCTACTCATATATTCTATATCGGCGCGCACATAGAAATATATCGGAGATCAATGCTAAGAAGACATCTAATAAGTTGTATTAACCTTAATGACACGGCGTCATGTTTATTACTCGGGCTTTCAAAGAAATGCCCGAGGTATAAATTGGGCTTTATTTGCGTTCTGTCACAAATCGCAGTTGCGTTCAAAGCGCATGCGCAAGTTCTATGCGCGTGCGTAGTATGCGCCACATAAGCACATGGTCGAGCAATGGCGAAATTTTTCAAGGTTTCGTCAGAAGGATGACAGTGTTCACGAAGAATTCTTTCGTTTTTCTGCTATGAAGCCCGAGTTTACGCAGATATGCGTCTAGTTCCTATGAAAATAAACACCTTTGTTTAAACCCGCATAACCTCATCCTGAAGCGCTCAAATACAAGACCGCGCGGGAAAGAAATCTATTGTCCTTTCACCATGGCTGCCGAGTAAGAAGGTCCATCATTTCCTACCTGCATCACTGCAGTCAGGAGGTGGTTGTGCTCCGCGTATGCTGATTCGAGTGCTCACTATTTCTTCTCCGGTTTTACTATGAACACACCAACAATCTCCAACTGAACTATGACACTGTCTTTCGTTAAAACTGCCATCAGGTTTACACGATGGGATAAATGTTCCAGGAGCTGGTACTCCGAATGGTCCATTTGCTGCTTTCAGTTTCTTTTGGCAAAGCGTCAACACTGGCTCTAGAATTGATGTATTAATGACAATCTGTTAGACCAAGTTTCCATTATTACAATGCACGATCGTTTGTGTCCAAAGCAAAAAACGAAGCTCAAAATTCATAATTCTCAAGATTAGGCAATGTTGTTAGCAACTTTTCTCACCATCTTATTGTAACATTGCCGCAAACGTTGTAAGAATTAGAATCAAGTTCTAATTTTTGCCAAGATTGTGACAACTATTTTGCCAATCTCAAGTGTTAACTCCTCCTACAACTTGTCTCGCAACGATATGTTACAACCAATAATATTTCATATATATACACGTTTGGATCAGAGAGTTGGCTTTTCTATCAAACTTTCTCAGTCAGATATCACGAAGGAAAGTTCCGAAAGCGATTGCAAAGAGTTTGAGTACATCCAAGTAGAATGAGGTGTTTGATTGACGGCAGTCTATTGCAAACTACACGACGCGATTTGTGTCTGGGATCGCCGCGTAGTAATGCAAAGGGCGGTAACACAAGTTCCACTTATCATTGTCGCCATACCCTTATCATTGTCGCCATACCCTTATCATTGTCGCCATACCCTTATCATTGTCGCCATACCCTTATCATTGTCGCCATACCCTTTTGATGCAACTACAACCGCAAAGTATTTTTTATAGCGTATCAAAAGTTCGAGACAATTTTCAAGGAACATTCCCTTAAAGTATCAGCGGACTAAACCTCTCCGCTAGATAACACTGCATTCAAAACACAATGTGGAAATTACCGGTAGGTAGAGGAATGGCCTCTAAACACTGCCTTTGACAGCCATTAAAACAGCACTTCTGATTGGGTCCACTGCATGTTGAATCTATTGTACATTCATCCCCCATTTTGTCACAGATACCATTCTTGCCTTTGGTAGGATCTGGGCAACGTCCTGGTACGCCAAAACCAGAACCGACAACTAAAATAAAATATACGAACGTAAACCATTAGATTGATGTATAGTGAAGAATTCCCGGTGGCGTATCCATAAACATTAGCCTCTGGCTTAGAAGACTTACCAGGATTGTTACAGTTTGGACTTCCTCTTATGCGTGTATTAGGAAGTTCATTGCCGTATATATCCACACACCAACAGTGTCCAGTTGAACCATGGCATTGGATGCTTTCATAGAAACCATCAGCTCGACATTTGGGGGTAAATTGGCCAACCAATCCTAATAAGCCACTATTAGACTTTCGATGTTTATGACATGGTGACATTCCATCTGTTAATAATTAACATCACCATTAGGAAATGTTTCTAAAACTTAAACAACTAAATAAATGGGCCTTCTCTGGTTTAAATGCTTTTTCCATCTCAGATCACGTGTCATTCTCTTCAAATAGGACTCTTTGTTTGAGTCGTATCCATAAGTGTCTTCTCATGCGCAACCATAAGGCAAGCAAATGATACTCTAGGGAATAAACGTGCCCTGACTTGGATCAGCTCAAAGATAAGATAATATTTTTTGAAGGGTAGAGTGGTAGGGAATAAACGTGCCCTGCCTTAGATCATCTCAAAGGTAAGATAATATTTTTCGAAGGGTAGAGTGGTGGGGAACAAACGTGCCCTGACTTGGATCATCTCAAAGGTAAGATAATATTTTTTGAAGGGTAGAGTGGTAGGGAATAAACGTGCCCTGGCTTAGATCATCTCAAAGGTAAGATAATATTTTTCGAAGGGTAGAGTGGTGGGGAATAAACGTGCCCTGACTTGGATCATCTCAAAGGTAAGATAATATTCTTTGAAGGGTAGAGTGGTAGGGAATAAACGTGCCCTGGCTTAGATCATCTCAAAGGTAAGATGATATTCTTTGAAGGGTAGAGTGGTAGGGAATAAACGTGCCCTGACTTAGATCATCTCAAAGGTAAGATAATATTTTTTGAAGGGTAGAGTGGTAGGGAATAAACGTGCCCTGACTTGGATCATCTCAAAGGTAAGATAATATTCTTTGAAGGGTAGAGTGGTAGGGAATAAAYGTGCCCTGACTTGGATCATCTCAAAGGTAAGATAATATTCTTTGAAGGGTAGAATGGTAGGGAATAAACGTGCACAAGATAATATTTTTTGAAGGGCAGAGTACGTACTCAAACATTAATGTGGTATAAATCAATCTTGTGTACCTGGGTAAACGCAATCTCTCTGGCATCCATTGTTGCAGCACTTTTGAATGAAGGGACATTGGCTGTCATTGTCACATGCATCACCACGGAAATCACAGAAACCTCTTGAACCTTTCCAGGGATTTGGGCATTGTCCTTGGCGCTCGCTTGGAACTAATGTAAAAGGTGAAAACATTTGCAATTAAATCTTTTGTGGTGTTTAGAGTAAGAACACTTAGAATTCTGGTCCAGATCTATAGTCTGGTCCAGTGCTTAGCCCAAAAGCTCGTTCATAACAGTTTATCTATAGTAATGATACCCACCTACAAAGAAATACTTAATATCAAAAATATCAATCTATACCTTCAAGACAACGAAATAATTACACCAGTTTTGCTTAAAAATAATTTATTTCTATTTGTTATTTTATTTTTATATGACAAAGCTCCTGCAATTAATATATGATAGGTATTTTGAGGAGAAACGCACCTTTGACATCACAGTTTGGTTTTCCTCTAACTCTAGTCCCAGCGATTTCCGTTCCATTTTCATGCACACACCAGCATTGCCCAACCGATCCATGGCATTGCACCTTCTTATAGAAACCATCTTGTGTGCAGCTTGGCACGAATACCCCAATAGGCGGCAGTTCGTCAGAGAGTTGATCCATCGCTCTTTGTTTTTCTACCTGACATTTTGTAAGGTTAACTGAAAAGAAAGATTATGTTATTTGATTAATAATATTTTCAGTAGAATTCTTTGTGGCTGACAGCACATGGTGATCAGTGCTTGACTACCATTCGGAGCAGATAATGAGATTCAAGGACTTTTATCAGTTGATTGAAAACCAGCAATAGAAATGATTCGTCTGGTTGACTGCACATGGTGATCAGTGCCTGACTACCATTCGGAGCAGGTGATGAGATTCAAAGACTTTTATCAGTTGATTGAAAACCAGCAATAGAAATGATTCGTCTGGTTGGCTGCACATGGTGTTCAGTGTTTGACCACCATTTGGAGGAAATGAAATTTAAAGACGTTTTCATCTGATTGAACCAACAAGGACCATTAACCCTTGGCAACAACGTAGCATACCGCTCGAGGACAAGGACAAGTACCGTCGACCCAACCAAATTCCACGCATGCGCAGATATGATCGTTCCGCAGCCTAGGTATTATGCTTCCCTTTGCCTCAGGAGTTGCCTGGTACCCATAACTAAACAATACTGGAAATGTGTCTTGCTCACCTGGTCTAACACAGTCTTTCTGGCAGCCATTGAAGCAACATCTGAAATTGCCAAAACAGTCTTTGTCGGTGCTGCATCTATCGCCCATCCTGTCACAAAACCTCGTGTTTTTCCATGGTTTTGGGCATCTTCCTGCTGGCTTTTTGTCCTTCTCGGCCTTGCCTTTGGTAGAGACACAGTCTTTTTGACAGCCGTTGTGACAGCATTTTTCCTCGCCCTTACAGTCATAGTCAACACCGCACATATCTCCTCGTCGATCACAAATACCGTCCAGTCCTTTCCAGGGCTTTGGACAAACACCAGGCTTGATTCCTAGATTCAAATAGTGAGGAACAGCTTCATCAGAATATAATGAAATAACAATCAAAGATTTTAATATAGAATGCAAATACTTCCTCACGATGACCCTTCGATCAGGGTATGGCTAACTCACAGATGGAACTCTAAAACAACTTCTAAGCTGCGAGGGTACAGCTAAATTCTAGATCGAATTGTATTTTAGGCTGTTAGGCTTTGCGGAGGAGGGAAAATCGGAAAACCGAAAGAAAAGCCCTGGAATGAAGGCACTTACCAGGTGGGCTTAAACATTCCATTTTGCATCCAGTAAAACAGCATTTACTTATACCATTACACTGATTGTCATACGAACAGTCATCTTGTGTATCTTGGCAGTTCTCAGCTTCAATCGCATCTTGAATTGGGCATTGACCAGGTTTGGGTTTGTAAGTCGGGGCATTCATACACTCACGATGGCAGCCATTGTTACAGCACTTTTGACGGCCAAAGCAGTCATTATCTTTAGAACATTCATGGGTGGTTGTTTTGCAGGATGCAGGATTAAGTCCATTACTCTACAAATGTTTGAAGATAAAAAGGAAATTAGAAGTAGAATGACAACAGAATAAGTCTTGCATTTTTTTCCAAAGTAGATCACGCTACAATTCTTGATCACCGTTAAACTGGGGCTTAGTTTGAGCTTAATATTCCTTTCTAGCAGAGTTTCACTCATTCTTGATTGAAAATCTGCCTAGAACCGCCAACGAGGGAGACTCTGCTAACAGGAAAAGGTTAATGCTTGATGGCTTGGGATTTACAAAAGGGGAGAGAGCCATATCAGCAGCCACTTATCAGATGTAAATGAAAGTAACATTGGATTTAATACCGGTGCAGGGCAAATTCCTGGTTTTGGTCTTCCATTGGGCATTTTCTTGGGTAACGAACAATCGAAATAGCACCCGTTGTGGCAGCACTTGTGCATTCCAGGGCATTCATGATCGGCTTGGCAAACATCACTCTGGTATCTGTTCTGGCAAGTCTAGAAATTCGATAACGTGTACATATAAGTATTGGGAATAAAGATAATTATTCAAACCCAACTAGTGATCTATCGTCAATGCTGCGTTCTGATTGGATGAGCTATTCAAATAAGAATTCAACGCCATACCACTTTAGAAAACTTTGGAGCAGGGCATTGACCAAGTTTTTCCCGACGGCCAGCAGTTCTTGCCATCTTTAGAGGCTCTGAGCATGATCTGTGACAACCATCAAAACAGCACTTGGATTTCCCTTGGCAGTCCATGTCGGACATACAGGAATCCCTACTGATATCCGAACAGCTACCGACATCGAACTTTGGCTCTCGGCACACTCCTGGTTTAACTAGATTTTTAAAATGTAAAAATATCAGAATTATTTTCCACAAAGAAACACGAAGAAAAGCCTTAATCAATACACATTTTGCCTTCAGTGCAAACAGGAGTCACATGACCCTAACTCCAGCCCTAAAGGATAAACCTAACCCTAAATCCTAACTTGTAATTAGAATTCAATGTCGGTCACGTGATTAGAATGTTAGAAGCAGTTAATACACAACTCTTAGAAATTCGCTCAATCCATGCGATTTGATTGGAGTAGAATATATGTATGTTTCTATCTGGCCCTTCCACTGCGCTCAATGATATGCCACATTTAAGACTCTGATCTTTTTCTATATAGCTTACCTTTCAAGTTGACACCCAATTGCACAGCTTCTGTAAAAATGAAGTAAGAAAAAATGAACTTGAAATCACTAATTAAGGTAAGTGTTAACTTAGGTCGAGGGTCATTTTTGCCATTAATGGCAACGATACCACGGTACGTATATTCAGTTATAGTCGTACTTTAGCTAATCCTACCAGCTAATCGGTATTTTACGGTAACCGAAACGACGGCAATGTGATAGGATATTGATAAATACTCGGGTTTCCTTCGATATCCCGAAGGTGGCCGTATAATACTCGGGTTTCCTTTGATATCCCGAAGGTGGCCGTATAATACTCGGGTTTTCTTCGATATCCCGAAGGTTGCCGTATAGTACAGGTTCTAATTTGCTCCAGCAGTTGACAGCATCCCCGAAAGGAATTGTGGGTCATTTATTTTTTAGCATTTTCCTAGCAGAGACTGCAAGTTAATCTGAGAGAAAGTGTCAGCCAATCAGAATCGAGAAAACTTGCAAAATTGAGGTGTCACTTTTCTTTTTGAAATTATGGATATCCAGGTCACCAAATGAAAAAAGATGACGGTCCTAATAACAATGGTGGGCATGTTTTTATTTTTCGCTGTTCAATTTTCACAGGCTTTATAACACCTCAGTTTTGCAGTGACGTCATTTCTACGTCACTATTTCAGATCATCTGATGAGTACAATATAAATTTCTCTTCCCGACTAAAATGGAATTCCACCATGCATGAGCTCGACTAGCATTTACGATGAATTCAAAGTAAGAAGAATTCGTATCTTACTGATTCTCTTGGTAGAGTCATGGAAAATGCTAATCCAAATACAATGTTGAATCCTAAATTATCACTGGTTGACCTTGATGTACAGGTCAACTCAGCTGGTATAACAAGTGCTTTACGAAAATAACAAAAGGAATCTCAAGTCAAATATTGGAACTCACTTTTCTTGCATTTCCTCTCACAGCGTTTGAGTGAGTGGAATCTGTTAGCGTTCCCATCGCAGCCACTGTAAATGAACTTCTTGCATGAGTTTGAAGCGGCATCAAAGTAATACCGGGCGGTATGTCCGGTACATGCACCCAGGGCTTTTGGTAGACTACACACGTGTTTGGCTGGAATATAAGACATTAGAACTGGTTTTAATATGGAACTGTTTGCAAAGGTTTCATTGACTTTTTTTCCCATTGACTCAGTGCTTTAACTTCTTTCGTTCCTTGTTTGACGTCAAATATATTTTGAGATTTTTTTATGTTAATGAAATGGAAAACAATACATTTGACGTACAAGAGAGATCATTTCACACAATACACCTATTACCTGAACAGCTTACTAAGCAGGCCTTCTTGCTGTCAAAATTGTTGGCGTTGCCACGACAACCACCATAAACAAACATCTTGCATTTAGCTTGTCTCGTGTCGTAGTACCATTTCTGAAATCTTGCCATACAAGGTCCAGGCCTCTTGGGAAGATTGCAAATGTCAGTAGCTGTGGAAGAAAAAATATACATGAATTCTCTTGATCACTTTTAAAGGGGCACTTAGATGAAAACACCCCGATTTTTGAAAGTCCGAATAATTGAAGTATTTGAGGATAATATGACTCAATTATGATTATGTAAACCAGATTAGTGAACATTTTAGCCTGGGAGCCACTTGCAGATGAGAAATTTTGGGTTAAAAGAGAAAAGTACAATAGGGTTGAGTAAATGACGTCATTTAGTTATAATTTAGATGCTGAATAAAATCGATAATTTTTTCCCGCCACTTTTGACTATGAAGGAAACATATTGCTTGGCTACTATCTGGGCCATATGGATAAGTTTAAACAAATTTCAAGTCATTTCCAATTTTTATTGATTTTCATCCAAGTGCCACTTTTAAATGTTATCGAAATATCTATCGGCTTAATCACAGATGAAATTTGAATTTAGCTTCCAAGGTTTTGCTTAGGGAGGTAAACCAGAGAACCTGGAGAAAAACCCCCGAATCAAGAGAGAGACCTAAAAAAACATTCTGCTCACATGTGATGCTGCGAATCCAATCTCATACCCAGAGCCTGCGTTTCTTCTGGCTTGCGRCTAAGAACGAGGGCTCTGGCATAATCCATTTTTCTGGCGCATGCGCAGTTTACCAGAAGTAAAATATAATCAATGAAAATCATGCTTTCAAACTGAGCTTTGTGTTATAAAAATCACAAACCAGGAACATATTTATACAATTTTTCACAAGTGTTTGAACGCATGCGCTTATACCGGAAAAAGAAATCCTGGTCTCAAAAAATGGATTACGCCAGAGCCCTCGTTCTTCGCCGCAGGCCAGAAGAAACGCAGACTCTAGTTACAAGATTGCCGCGAATCTAAAGATAGAACCCGTGTCGCGTGCCAAGAGGTGAGAGGCGAGTACACTACAACTACACCACCTTTGATTAAGCAATTTTTTTCCGAAGTAAAAGTCGATTTGACTCGAAACTAATTGCTTTTCAATATTACCTGAGTGGAAGCAGGATCTTATGCAGGATTCTTTATCGAGAAAGTTGTTTTCGTTTCCTCCATCTCCACTGAAGACAAATGCCTCACAAAGACGAGTAGCAGAATTGAAAAAGAATCGTACGACGAATCTGCTACCGGTGCCAATAAGCTTGTTTTTTAGGCAAACGYTCCTTGGTTTGATGGCTTTTAACGTTATGATCTTGGGTTCTAAGAAAGTAATTGCATGAAAGATCAGTGTGGATAAGACACACAATTATGGATACAACTCAAACAAACAATGTTATTCTCAAGAAAATGACACGTGGTCTGAAATGGGTAAAAAATACGAGAGAGAGAGAGAGAGAGAGAGAGAGAGAGAGGAAATAAAGAAAAGAAAGAAAAATGAATGAAAGACTACAAAATATAATACGAGTTTAGGCGATTAAAACAAGATACGGTTTTCGCGCGGTAAAATTGTTTATAAAACTTGACGTTTCGACTGCAACAACTGTGAAAGTCTTCTTGCTTCCAAACAAATAGAGGCTTGGCACCATCACGTGACGGCAGCCATGTTAGATGGCAGGAACAATACAATCGTTTTACATGAAAAAGAATTCAATTCCCAAGAGTAAAGGGATTTTATTGTTGTGCAATCCGTATTATGGCGCCCGCACGTGATGGTGCAAAGCCTCTAAACATGAAAAACCCCAGAATATTAGAATCTTGAGTATTACGATGCCTTTCTACATACCTTGGACTGACACATTGACTGATGCCACTATAGAACGAACGCCATCAAATGCGCTGCACATATAAACACCAGCGTCACTCGTGACGACAGTCTTCACCTTCAATACATTATCTTGCGGTAACATCCTATCAGAGGGTAGCCGCTCCAAGCCAACTTTATCCCAGATTATCTGAATTGGATCTCCTTCAAACTGGCATGTGATCTTACCAGCTTTGCCAGCCTTCAAAACTTGATTCTTCACATGTGAAGGGCTCACCGTAACTGTATCTAAGACGAAAGAGAAATATTATTCAACTAAATCCCTGGAGCCTCAACTCCACAGCATTTGGACAACTAGTGTGAAAACAATGTCTTGCAATCTAAAATAAATACTTTTCAATAAAAACTCAAATGTTTCGCTTAAGATTCCATACATTATTAAAAATAAAAGCCCATGCGCGCCCCGTATTGTTACAGTTTTAATTTGCGCGACCCAGCAACAATGGAACACTGACGAGAATTCGKCGTCAAGGGTCGAAATTTTTGGAAAATTTTCAAGATTACAAACTAGATCGTAGTGAAAAACAAAAGAAATAGAAACAACGCAAAAGAAATAAAATGTAATTAAAGGAAAAAGGAAAAATAAATAAATAATAATTTAATGCAAAAACGACGACGACAATAACAACAACAACAACAACAACAACAACAACAACAACAACAACACTGAACATAATACTTACTTTGTCCACGTCTGCATTCTCCAGGATATGCTACACCAATGATGTCACCAAGAACACAGGCTGTCAAGTTCATTTCACATCGACTCGGATATGTTATTTTATCAGTACCACAAACAGTCTCATCCCTTCGTGGAGCTGGACATTTGGTAGGACACACGCATTTGGGTCGATTGTACTTATCCATAATACAGATTTCGCCTTGGGTGTAACACGTTTTCTTTGCACAGAGTACTGTAAAGAAAATATACATTAAAACCTTGTTTCACGAGGGTGGCGTTTAGAGTGCTTAATTCTTAATAGCATGCACGAGTGGAATCATACGATTACCGTCGCGACAAAATAGGGACTTGGTGGACGTCAATCAAGGTGTTTCCATGACGTTGTCGTAAAACAAGCCTATGGTTTGTCATGGAAACGCCATGATTAACAAAACCCTCGAAGCACAGGAGAGAAGCAACAAGCAACTCTACTCACGTAAAACACCGAGACCATAAATCGAAACCGGGCTGCTTTGCTATCCGTGCTTTGCAACTCATAATGCTATGCAGGTATTACTTCGTTTAGATCATAACTGAAATACCTTTGGTGCATTCAGCGACAGATGCGTAAACACTAGGATTGGGGTTACAAGTAGATGTAGTGTGGCAGCATCTGAAAGAAAATAAAATAATAAATGGATGGACGGACGGACGGACGGACGGACGGACGGACGGACGGA